GCAGCAGCAGCAGCAGCAGCAGCAGCAGCAGCAGCAGCAGCAGCAGCAGCAGCAGCAGCAGCAGCATACTTGTCTTCTTATGGGGTCAGCCGGGGCCAAGGCCTTCTCTTGCAGCAGCTGCTGCTGCTCCGTGTTGCTGTTGCTGATCGCCTGCAGCAGCAGCGCCTCGAAGCCCTGGGGCTGCATGAGTGCTGCTGCTTGCTGCATGTTTCTTGTGGTTGCTGCTGCTGCTGCTTCTGTGTAGCCGAAGCGCTGCTGCCGCTGCTGCCGCTGCTGCTGGATCACAGGCACCCACTTGCATGCGTCGCGCTGCGCAAAGTCGAACTGCTGCTGCCGCAGCAGCAGCTGCTGCTTGTGCAGCGGCAGCAGCTCCGGCAGCACCCCCGAGTCTTGCTGCAGCTCTGCTGCTCGTCTTGCTGCTTGAGCTGCTGCTTTTTTGTCCCCAGCTGCTGCTGCTTCTGCTGCTGCAGCAGTGGCAGCAGCAGCGCGCCGGGAAGGAGCAGCGAGAGCACCGAGCTGCTGCTGCAGCTCGCCGTGCTGCGTGCTGCCTTCAATGACAGATAAAATCTCATCAAAGCCAAAACCTGAACAGCAACAGCAGCAGCAGCAGCAGCAGCAGCAGCAGCAGCAGCAGCAGCAGCAGTCAGTAGAGCTGCTGAGGCACCACACAACTGCGGACAAGCAGCAGAAGCAGCAACGCCGCCGCCGCAAAGACTACAGCAGCAGCGCCAGAAACAGAAGCGGCAAGCCAAAGACCATAGCAGCAGCAGCAGCAGCAGCCTTAGCAGCAGCAGCAGCAGCCTTAGCAGCAGCAGCAGCAGCAGGAGCGCACTGGTCTCTTCCGTTTCCGTGTCTCGAAGCAGCTGCAGCGTTCCCTCTGCTGCTCCATCGCATTTTCTTGCTGCTGCTGCTGCTGCTGGCAGCTCCTCGTGCTGCTGCTTCTTCTGCTCTTGGCGCAGCGACTTGACCAGCTCCTCGCACCCCTCCTCTGCTCCGGAATCCTCGCTGCTGCTGCTGCTGCTGCTGCTGCTGCTGCTGCGGCCGCGGCGGCGGCGCAGCTCTAGAAAGGCCTCGGGAACTTCTTCATCTTCCGAGCTGCTCCTGTCCCCTGCGAGGCGTGCGGCTCTAGAGGGGGCCTTGCGGCCTTTTGCAGTCATCTTGCCTTGCTGCTGCTGCTGCTGCAGCTGCTGCTGCTGCTGCTGCTGTTCGTGTAGCTGTTGCTGCCGCCGCTGCGGCCCCTGAAGCCCGCGTCGCTGCAGCTGCTGCTGGAGCCCGACCAGCAAGCGCTGTTCTGCTGCTGCTGCTGCTGCTTGCTGCGGCTGAGGAGCACTGCGGCGGGCAGCAGAAGGCCCCAGCAGCCCTGGGCTTTGGGGGCCCCCTGTACTTCTGCTGCTGCTGCGCCTCAAGAGAAGCAAATAACTCCAATTTAGGACTTTATGGAGCAGTTTTGTTGCTGTAGCTACACCGGGATGTGCAGACAAGCTCCACATACACCCTACTGCGAACTGTGGGGCCCCTGTGGGGCCGAGGACCTTCTCTGCATGCAACGGCAGCAGCAGCAGCAACTGATGCCGCTGCAGCAGCAGCTGCTGCTGCTGCAGCTACATTGAAAAAGCACATTTTCTAGTCAACAGTTAGCCATTCTTCTCTCAGCTGTGTTGATCTGCTGCTGCAGGCTGCTGAGCTAGCCCGCCCGAACGCTGGGGTGTACATACAGCTCGGCAGTCCTTCTGCACCCCTGCAAAGTTTGAAACTGCATTTATTACTTTAAAATTCATTTTTAATAATATTCGCGACACCTTCGCTTTGCAGGAGAGCGCAAGCTCCGCAGCTTCTCATTACGTGGCGTAGTGCTGCTGCTGTTGCTGCTGCTGCTGCTGCTGTTGCTGCTGCTGCTGCTGCTGGGTGGAGCTAGCTGTGGGTAGCTCCCACTTCTACGCTGCGAGTCAATCAAACCCTAGGCCCAGCGGCCTGCGTCTCCAGCCAGAAGCCGCAGACTGGCGAGGTTCCCAGCTGCAGCTGCGGCAGCCCCCGCAGCTGCTGCAGCTGCAGCTGCAGCTGCAGCAGCCCCCAGCTGCAGCTGCAGTTGCAGCAGCTCCCAGCTGCAGCTGCAGCAACTCCCAGCTGCAGCTGCAGCAGCTCCCAGCTGCAGCTGCAGCAGCTCCCAGCTGCAGCTGCAGCGGCACTCTGGGGCCCCAAAGCCCTAGCTCTAAAGGCCGCTAGGCCCCAAGCTGCAGGCCTGTGGGCCCAGCAGCAGCAGCCTTTTGCTGCTGAGCTTTTGCTGCAGCTCCAGCAGCAAAGCTCTGCCTGCAGCAGCAGCCCTTTGCTGCTGAGCTTTTGCTGCAGCTCCAGCAGCAAAGCTCTGCCTGCAGCAGCACTTAAATAGGGGCCCCCATGGGCCCCCTGCCTTGCTGCAGCAGCAACGCACCCCACGGCAGGCGACCCTGGCCGCCTGGGTCTCAGCAGTTTCCTAAACCCTAAACCCTAAACCCTAACTCCATTTCGATTTGCTAAACTGTGCAGAGACCCTGTTTGTGCTAGGTTTGCTGCTGCTGCTGCCGCTGCAGTTGCTGCTGCTGCTGCTGCTGCTGTGAAGCAGCTCTCAACGCTACACTCAATCCAAGGAAAGACGGGCTGATACAAAAAACAAGTCCTTGGCTCTAAGTGCACCGCATGTGGATATCTCTGGCTGCAGCAGGCCCTCTGGGGCTGCTGCTGCTGCTGCTGCTGCTGCTGCAGCGAACAAAGAGCGCGTAGAGCCATGCAAGGAACAACGCAGCAGCAGCAGCAGCAGCAGCTGCTGCTGCTGCTGCTGCTGCGAGTGGCTATCCATTGCCAGCCCTGCAGTAACAACCTTCTACGCAAATGTGTTTGACTTCTGCTTCTGTCTCACTTCCCCCTATGCCTAACCCCACAACTTCTACTAATGCAGCAGATTGGGTGTCTTCTTTGTTTTTTATTTCTGGGATTTCTTTTCTCCGAAGATGCATTAAAAGTCTTTCTTCCGACTGCGTTGTCTGCGAGCAGCTCCCTGCGAGGGTTTCACGCTGCAGCAGCAGCATCTGCTGCTGCTGCTGCCCCTGCTGCTGCTGCTGCTGCTGCTGCCCCTGCTGCTGCTGCTGCTGCTGCTGCAGCCGCTGCTGCAGCACTCTGCAGCGCTGCTTCGCCCGAGCCACAGGGTCCCAGCAGCCCCTGAACTCCAAATAGCAGTTTTTGCTGCTGCCCAATTCTGCAGGCAAGAAGTCGGGGGCCTCATCTTCCCCTAGCCAGCAGCGCAGCGGGCTGTCAGCAAAGCCTCCGTCGTTGTCTTCGCTGCTGTTGCACTTGCTGCTGCTGCTGCTGCTGCGCCTGCTGCTGCTGCTGCTTCCCGCACAAACTGTATCTTCCAGCACCCTCAGCTGCGACGAAGCGCGGCAGCATCTCTTTGGCCTGGCCCTCCTTTTTTTGTTTATCGGTATATGCTGCAGCCCCAGCTGCGGCTGCTTCCTCACCCCTTGCTGCTGCTGCTGCTGCTGCTGCTGCTGCTGCTGCTTCCCGAGCCGCCTGCGCCCCTTGCTGCTCTGCTGCTGTTTGCCGTGCGCCTCCAAGTTCTGCGAAAGAAGGGACGCAAAAGGGAGACTGTCGATTTCGCTTCCCGTTTGAGCCTGGCGGGCCCGCAGCTGCTGCAGCTCTTGCTGCTGCTGCCTCAGCAAGCTGCAAACATAAAACCCAGCAGCAGCAGATTCGGGGAGGGGGAATGCCTGTCTTATTGCCCCGAAGGCCCCTAGGGAGCCCCTGTGCAGGCCGCGCTCTTTGTCCCGATCACTCCCGTGCTGCTGCCGCTGCTGCTGCTGCTGCTGCTGCTGCTGCGTCCTACGTCGCCGCCGCTGCTGCTGCTGCTGCAGCTCCCGCCTTCCGTCGCTTTCGCTGTAACTTGAGTCCGAGTCAGACACGGGAGAAAGAGAAGAAGGGGACAAGTCGACATCCTCCACAAAAGCAAAAGCAGCTTTGGCGGTTGCGCTGCTGCTGCTGCAGCACCCGCTGCAGCCCCTGCTGCTGCTGCTGCTGCTGTTGCTTCCTTTTACTTTCTTCTGTGGATTTGCTGCAGCAACTTGCTGCAGTTTTTTTGGGTTCTTCTCTTTGGACTCTCCAGTTATTTCTCTGGGGGAGGGGGCCCCTCGACCGCCACTGCCGCGCAGAACTCCATTCTGCTGCTGCTGCGGCTGCCTCTGTGTCTGCTGCCGTTGCTGCTTCTTGGGGGGGCCGGAGCTTTGCTGCTGCTCGTGGCGCTGCTTCTGGCGCTGCTTTTGCTTGAGCAGCTTCTGGCGCTTCTGCTGCAGCGCTTGGCGCCTCAGAGCGCGCCTCTGCAGCAGCTCTTTCTCAGCCTGCCCAGTGTCCCAGTACCACTTCTTGAGGGCTTCGATTTTGCGGCGGAATTCGAAACTTCCGGTTCTCTGAAACGACTCCAGGGGCTCCCAAGTGTCCTCGCTGGGGTCCTCGTAGCCCCGCCACTTCACACGGAAAAAAAACTTGCTAAATACACGTTTTACTGCCACAATATCTTCCACCGAAAAGTATCCGTCTTCGCCTTCCACAAAGGTCGCCATCTTGAGGTGTACAGACACCCGAACCCAGCGCGCACGAGCCCGCGGCGAAACCCGCGGAAAGAAATAGCTCGCAAGCCCCAATTAAAAGCAGGACAAACAACTCAAAATGCAAAAAAAGACAGAAACAACTCAAGAAATATGGCAAGATGCTCTTCTCGTTTACTCCCCGCCGCTCTCAAGACATACCGGAAGCTGGTCCCGCGAGTTCGTGGCGGGCGGCTCTCCCGGCCTTCCCATGAAAAAAGAAAGACAAAAGAGCGGGTACTGCATTTAAAAGGATATTGTATTACAAATTAATTCAAGATTGAGAAGAAAAGACGGGGCAAAGCAGTGTGTGCTGCCTCGATCTACGCGGCGCGGCCAGCAGCAGTGACAGCTCGCCCCGTAGCACACGCTTCAGCCTTCTTCCCACTTGTCCTATCCTTCTTCATTATTCCCTCCTTTTAAAATAATTCAAATTTACTATTTTCCTTGAAAAAACAAGAGGACACACGGGGGCCTTCGACGTTCTGCCGCCGTTTCAGCCCGTAGCACCGCTGGTCCACAAGACCAGTCATTGGGGGTGGACCGTTTTCGATTTTCGACGCATCTTTCCTCCAGTTGAAGCGCAAAATAATATTCGGGCTTTCTTTCATTTTGAATTTTGGAGATCTTTTTGAATGGACTCTGCAGAATTCCAGTGGGCACAGATGGCCGTCTAGAAACACAACCAGTGTTTGAGGCCTCCCCACGCTGCTGCTATAAGCGGGAAAGTTCTCACCAGAGTTCAAAAAGAAGTTCCGAATGTTCATTACCAATAACTAATTACAAATTTAATGAGTTAAAGCCTCAAAAGAGCAGAAAATAAACATTTCCGTCACCGTGCCTCCAGCTAGTTTGGGTGTCACTGAAGCCCCCGAGGTTTCTAGTGCACTTTCCTAAAAAAGGGCCTCTCAGCTTTAGTGTATTCCCCAAAGAAAGGACATCTGCCTTCATTTCCAAAATAAAAAACAAATAAATCTTTATTTCGGACAGTTGCTCGAAAGTTTCCGCGAAATGGAACTGCAGTGGTCATTGATGCCATACACCTCAGGCTCACAGCCACGGGAACAGGTCTACCCACGCGCATAGGAGCATCTTTTGTACTTATTTTCCCTCAATTAGTGTCAAGTTGCTATTTATTTGCATTTTACTGCATTTAAGTACAAATTGCATGCCATATTGGAGTCTCTGGCGCTGCATTTGAAGTTGTGGGAAGCAGCCTGTGACAGCGACGCCAGTATAGCCGCTTAGGGGGGCGAAATCCACGAAAATATGTTCTGAAAGCCAGCATAAGTTCCTGTGGCTTGTAACCAGCCTTAACATTGAGTGCCTTCCACAGGGAAGCAGCAATTAAATGCCGCTTTTGCGTGCAAACGGCATTCAAGTTGGCTTCTTGCTCCAGTTAGCAGTTTGGGTGTACAGTACCACAACCCAATTTGAGTCCAAGTGACTGCCCAGGACTCCGTCGCAAATTTAGAATAGATAGATAGAAGTCCACCTTACCTTCAAATGTGCTTCTAACTCAGAGCCAGCGAAGCAGGATCAAAAGAGATACACTTCAAGAATGCCTTGCAGGATAAGCTTTCCGCTGGTGTCTTCTGAAAGGCGATATCAACTAGTGGGTTCAATTTTTGTAAAGGCCTGCTACTAAAGAGTTGTACACATTTTCTGAAAGCCCCAGCACCCTGGCCTGCAGTTAGCTGGCTATTAGAGCTGCGCGAGTCACCGGAAACCAGTAATGCTTCGCCCACCATCAGGTAGTATCCACGAATTATTCAGCTTCTACAATAGTTAGTAGCCCTCCGCGCAGTACACAAGAAACTGCTTTAACATGCAGAACTGCACGTTAAAGCAGTTTCTTGTATGCCTTCTCTTTCGCAGAGGAACAGTCTCGTACACAAGACACTGCTTTGACATGCACAACTGCAGGTTGAAGTAGTTTCTTGTGTACCTTCGCTTTCTCTTAGGAACAGTCTCGCTCTCAGAACCCCCTTTTTCTCGTGCAACACTCACTAGTGCCATTTGCCACAGAGGAGGCATCAACAGCTTGACGGACTCGTCAAGCTGTTGACGCCTTCTCTGTAGCGCAGACCCTGCAAGTTCAACTTGTTGCATCCCGTCGTTTTCAGCTTTCTGTCCAGTGTCCCCAAAATCAATTTCAGGGCCTCTGCAGCTTCTCAAGTTTCACACATCTCGGGTGTAGGCTGAGGACACCATCGCCAAGCAGCTAAGCCTTGGAGGACTCTACCAGCTGGGTAGTGGGAAAACGCTCATGCTGGGCTAGTAAGAGAAGGAACTTGTTAGCTTACTAAAGTGATACTCCTTTGGTATCAGTTTGTCCAGGCGTGCCATTACTGCTTCGTAGAAAGCTTCACACAATCAACATTTAGAAGTGTCTAAGCTCGTTCTCGATTATCCTCGTTGACAGTGGGCCATCTACATCAAATCAGTAGTCTAGCGCTGCCGTCATGAACTGCTGACGCATCTTCATGGCCGCTGCACTTCGGAGTATTCTAGATTGCATGTGTAATATGTGCACCAAACTAGTGAACGCCTTTTCAAAATTTCGAGCTTCCGTCACTATGCTGTCGCCATAACCCTGAATCTGACTTGCACAATTGAGATCCGGCTTCCTCAACTCGGTCGAGTTGATCCTGGGCTCTTCGAGTTTGACCCAGTTGCAGATTGAATGGTGCTCGTTTCCTGAAATGTGCAAAGTGTGCGGCCTCCGCTTCTAGATCCAGTTCATACCGGTAAGCTGGTTCTGCATATGCGTTTTCTGAGGCCGAGTAGAAGCCAAAGGCAGCGTTCCGTTGTTGTCTTGTGGCACATGTGTGTCTGCCAATCTCGTTAGGTGCGAGTCGGGCATTTTAATGATCTACAGCCCAGGGCATTCGCACGGAATCACATAAGCTACGTGACCAACGATCTGAATTCCTCAGACTAAAGACAAGTAGGAGGGTAAAAGTATGCAGACATGCAGATAGAACTAAAAGTCACCTAAACTGAACTGCTAGCAGGGCGCAACGCCTGACCCAAAGGCCTCCCCTTTGTCTGCGAGAATGCCTTGTAGCTTGAGACAGCTTGCCTCAGAGACCGCCGGAACCGGTGAGCTTCAGCGAGCTGTCGGCTTTATACAAGATATCCCATTTGAATAATATTAATGTGACTTCCTTCATATCCAATAAGGACTTTCGTGGAGCAGTTGCGTAGGGAACTGCAATAAGCCCCAGGCAGTGCACCAGAGCTCGACACTTTGAGGTTCATGCTTGAATGAATTGAATGAATTCCCTTACAATCAGATGATGCAAAATTAATCCCCAGTACATCTTATTGCATTCCAAAAGTCCCACTGTAGTCTGGATCCGGCTGCAAAACCCAGTGCTGTGGTGACCCGTGCTTGCCGTAGTTAAGACTGGCAGAACATAACGTTGAACCAGGGGAACTGCAAAGAACATATAGGCTTCTTTTCTAGAAATCATTGTGCCTAAGCGCCCTTCTTGTAAGTTTAACTTGTGAGAAGTCTTTCAATACCTTGCTTCTCTTGATCTAACAGCCCACCTCCGGATTCTCTGGAACGGTCCGGTGGTACAGCGGTTCAGCGGTCCATCCGGCCTCAGAGTGCATATTTCCGTGTGCAGCAGGAGAAGATGGATCCTGAAGCGAGACGCGAAAGTCCTTCAGAATGGAACCCTAGTTGGTTGTCGGACGAAGAACCTGCCGTTGCAGTGGGCGAACGTGGGAAAACAACTGATGCATTGCCGCAGCTCCATGGTGTACATTTGCGTAACCCAAGCGAGCCCCTTCATCTCAATTTGAGCATATACTTGCACCAGCAAGCAGACAACTCAACAACGGTTAGAGCTGTGGGGTCGTGGAGGAGGAAAAGACATGAATGCGCCGTGCACATGGCCAGCATTTTTGCAGCTGCACTCGCCGTAACATTTTTGGCGCTATTATGCTTTCGGAACCTAGGGACTAATTCAGCTTTGGCACCAAGACCAAGATTTTTGTCGGAAGATGGCTCTGTTGGAGCTCACATTTGCGCTGTGAGACTCTTTCGCGTCATCCCTTTGCCGTTGTGATGGGCGGATGACATACAGTGAAGTGGAGCATTCCTTACTTGAGTAAACATTGTGACGCAAAGTAGTGAGCTCCGGATTGTGATGGTAAAGTCACCGTGGGTGCGTCGAACGAGAACGCAATAGTGTGTTACTGCGGGACTGGTCGCACCGTGCAGTAGAGGTATTTAATGACATACAGTAACACTACATGGGTAGCTATCGGGCATCGAAGTGTGCTGCAGATTTCCTTAGCACGTTTTCACATGACATACACACAGGTAGTAAGTGAATTAGGGGGTGCTTGAGGCCTTTGAGTCGTAGGTTGTTTACAGAGGATATCCACGGCTGCCCCTGGCAAGAAATATTTGAGAATTATGCAACCCGGACGATGGTGGTAGACAATTCTTGTGCTGATTTTGCATCATGTGTGCGCTTGGCCTGAAGTGCTGTGGTAGTGTGCTGGCATCAGTGTGATGCGAGCACTGATTAGGAGGAGTGTAGTTTTCTGTTTAAGCCGCCTGTGTGCAAATGTATGCATGGCCTGTGACTGTTGCGGATTGGAAGCAGCACAGCAGGGGAAGAGCTGTGTGTCCGGGCCTTGTTTTGTAATGTGGCTGTTTACAATCTGCGTCAGGGAAGGAGTCAAGGCAGCAAATCGCCGTGCAGAGAGTTGCTTGGTTGCTGGTTGGATATGTCTTCATTTGCTTTTCTTCCGTCAATACTTGCTATAACATTCTGCTTTGATAGCAGAATGTTGTGCAGCGCGGACAAAGACACGAGCCACACAGTTTTGCCGTCAATGAAACAGAGAGCGACCCAATGAAGTGCATGTAGCAACAGTTCAGCGCTTGCCGGAATTTGAGCTGTGACGGAAGATCGAAATCGTGTTTCATGATGAGCAGTGTGGTGTTTCCT